GATTTTATTTTTGGGGCGTGAAAATTTAATCGTGAAATTTCCCACTTTTAAAGTAATATAGAGCATACTAATGCTTAACAAAATGGAGGAATTCACTTTTTCTTGGAAAATCTAGCTATGAAAATGTAGCAAATTTTGGCCAAGAACGGCCTTGGTAAAGTATGCCGATTTGATCTTTTTACTTCAAATTTCATGGTCAAATTTCCACCTTTTAATGTAATATATAGGCTAGTCAGTCTAAACACAACCAAGGAATGCACTTTTTGTTAAAAAATACAGCCGTAAAAATTCGTTCAATTTTAGCCAAAAACGGCAGTTTTTTTCTGTCAACAAACTTGAACTCTGACCCCTCTCTCTGACGTCACCGCTCAGCGTGACCTCATCGGCATCAAACGCCAGGGGGAGGTGTACCCCGCAAGTGACGTCATGTCACCTGCTGCCGCGTGACGTCGCGAGGGACCAGGAAGTTGCCGCTCCGCCCGTGAACTGAAATCCGAGGTGAGAAATTATCATCGCGGTTGTTGTGGTGGATGTGGTGGTGGATGTGGTGGTGGATGTGGTGGTGGATGTGGTTGTGGTGGTGGTTGTGGTTGTTGTTTACCGAGGTAGAGCCTCGCTCTCGTAGGGATGTCAATTGAGTAGCAGCGAGCATGGAAGCGATGTCCACGTTTAAACTTTACAACGCGGGGCCTTGCCTCCTGCCCTCGCCTGGTCGCGTTCGCTTCAATTCTCTCGCTTAGTTTAGCGACCTGTGTAAGAACGCGATCAGCCAGGCGATGCGTTAGTTGTGTGTTGACCGACTCTCTGTGTTGCATTGCATTTCTAAATTTGACTAAGTTTGATTAAGTGTCTCTCTCTGTGTGCAGTCACCAAACCTCCAAATCTCTCATTGACACAAGGCCGTAGTTATAATATGGTATAATAAGTATAATATTATGTTATAATTCTAATATGTTATAATAATTAAAATACTCAAATATGCCCCTCCAATATATTGCTGTAAAAATCTTTAAAAATAATAATTGCGATGCTCTGTTAATAAAAATAACAATTTGCTAAACCTTGGCCGCAAAATCTGGACTTGTCTTCATATAACAATGCATAGATTTCTGTTTACATGATTGTGTTGTACTTTATGAATCGCTAATCTCTGCCATTACACACTATGAAACAAGGAAAGGTAAAAAAGAAAAAACAGAGCAATGTAATACAATACACTATTAGACATTATGGTATCAAATAAAAAAAATCCATCCCATGTGTTAGTGAACTTTTACAAATATTTTTGGGAGGAAATGGCAGGAAATGAGTTTTCAAATTTAGATATTTTTCTGGGGGGGGGACCCCAGACCCCCTGGAAGATTTGGTCCCCCCCAATGATGACTCCATTGCTACGGCCTTGCATTGACGTGCTAATTTCTCTACCCCCCCCTCTCTCTACCCCCCCCCCTCTCTTTCTACCCCCCCCCCTCTCTGCCCCTCTCTCTATTTAAGGCCTCGACACAGGCGTTGTTTCTCTGTGTGCTTGTGTGTCTCTCTCTGTCTCTGTGTCATCTCTCTGTGTCTATGTGTGTGTGTCTCTGTGTGTCTGTGTCATCTCTCTGTGTGTCTACAGTGAGGGAAAAGAGTATTTGATCCCCTGCTGATTTTGTACGTTTTCCCACTGACAAAGAAATGATCAGTCTATAATTTTAATTGTAGGTTTATTTGAACAGTGAGAGACAGATTAACAACAACAAAAATCCAAAAAAACGCATGTCAAAATGTTATAAATTGACTTGCATTTTAATGAGGGAAATAAGTATTTGACCCCTCTGCAAAACATGACTTAGTACTTGGTGGCAAAACCCTTGTTGGCAATCACAGAGTTCAGACGTTTCTTGTAGTTGGCCACCAGGTTTGCACACATTTCAGGAGGGATTTTGTCCCACTCCTCTTTGCAGATCTTCTCCAAGTCATTAAGGTTTCGAGGCTGACGTTTGGCAACTCGAACCTTCAGCTCCCTCCACAAATTTTCTATGGGATTAAGGTCTGGAGACTGGCTAGGCCACTCCAGGACCTTAATGTGCTTCTTCTTGAGCCACTCATTTGTTGCCTTGGCCGTGTGTTTTGGGTCATTGTCATGCTGGAATACCCATCCACGACCTATTTTCAATGCCCTGGCTGAGGGAAGGAGGTTCTCACCCAAGATTTAACAGTACATGGCCCCGTCCATCGTCCCTTTGATGCGGTGAAGTTGTCCTGTCCCTTTAGCAGAAAAACACCCCCAAAGCATAATGTTTCCACCTCCATGTTTGACGGTGGGGATGGTGTTCTTGGGGCCATAGGCAGCATTCCTCTTCCAAACACGGCGAGTTGAGTTGATGCCAAAGAGCTCCATTTTGGTCTCATCTGACCACAACACTTTCACCCAGTTGTCCTCTGAATCATTCAGATGTTCATTGGCAAACTTCACATGGGCATGTAAATGTGCTTTCTTGAGCAGGGGGACCTTGCAGGCGCTGCAGAATTTCAGTCCTTCACGGCGTAGTGTGTTACCAACTGTTTTCTTGGTGACTATAGTCTCAGCTGCCTTGAGATCATTGACAACATCCTCCCGTGTAGTTCTGGGCTGATTCCTCACCGTTCTCATGATCATTGCAACTCCACGAGGTGAGATCTTGCATGGAGCCCCAGGCCGAGTGAGATTGACAGTTCTTTTGTGTTTCTTCCATTTGCGAATAATCGCACCAACTGTTGTCACCTTATCGCCAAGCTGCTTGGCGATGGTCTTGTAGCCCATTCCAGCCTTGTGCAGGTCTACAATCTTGTCCCTGACATCCTTGGAGAGCTCTTTGGTCTTGGCCATGGTGGAGAGTTTGGAATATGATTGATTGATTGCTTCTGTGAACAGGTGTCTTTTATACAGGTAACAAGCTGATATTAGGAGCACTCCCTTTAAGAGTGTGCTCCTAATCTCAGCTCGTTACCTGTATAAAAAACACCTGGGAGCCAGAAATCATTCTGATTGAGAGGGGGTGAAATACTTATTTCCCTCATTAAAATGCAAATCAATTTATACCATTTTTGGCATGCGTTTTTCTGGATTTTTGTTGTTATTCTGTCTCTCACTGTTCAAATAAACCTACCATTAAAATTATAGACTGATCATTTTTTTGTCAGTGGGCAAACGTACAAAATCAGCACTGTATGTGTGTCTCTCTTTGTGTGTCTCTGTGTCATCTCTCTCTGTGTGTCTATGTGTGTGTCTCTCTCTCTGTGTCTTTGTGTCATCTCTCTCTGCTTATGTGTCTATGTGTCTCCGTGTCTGTGTTTTGTCTCTCTCTCAAATTGAGCAATCTTTGGAAGAACGTTATCAACCAGTTGGGGTGTTGACTGTTATGTTAGCTGACTCTCTGTGTTGTATTGCATTACATTTCTAAGTTTACTAGGTTTTTTTTCTCTTTCATTTGTACCTGATGATGATTGCTTATGTTGCAATCGAAACGTCGTATGCTATTTGCACACAGCGTTGGTTTTAGGTGCTTTTTGTGGAATATTTTGCTGTTTTTCCCTGGATTTTCATGTTTGCACATTCACATAGTCACTTTAAGATGTTTTCTCGTTCATGTTTTTGTTTTTTGCGGTTGCATCCGATTCAAGAGCCGAATGGCTCACGGGGCTATACCAAATAAATGAAACTGAAACTATTATGTAATTTATTTATTTATTCTACGTGACTTTACGGAAAGAACCAAAGAGTATCTTGCTTAAGTTTTCATTTCTCTTCACCTGGCTCGCTACTTTGTAACTTTGTTTTATGTGAAATATTCACAGTTTTTTTTTCATTTTTTACCAGGCCACGCCCGCTTGAGCTGCTGTACCGCTCTTGTTTTCAGAAGCGACATGCTCACAACAACAACAACAAGGTGAGGCTTGTCAACAGCGTGGCGGTGTTCACTCTGGACGCGTGGCGGTGTTCACTCTGGACACGTGGCGGTGTTCACTCTAGACGCGTGGCGGTGTTCACTCTCTGCATGTGGAGTGGGGACAACCGGGGGATCCGGAGGGAAATCCACGCGACCACGGGAAGAGAGAAAGACACACAAACTAAAAATATACAGCAGGCGTCAGGGTTGGGATGAACCCACGACTTCCTGTATGCCAGGAGAGGTAGTTAACATCTCACCATGGGGAGCGAGAGAGACACGCAGCCTCGGCAGTGTTGATTAATCCTCATTGAATTACTTTGTGGAGTCAGGAAGCTTTAATAGTGAGCGGATGAAGGTGGCTAGGCATGGGTCTGGACACACCTCTTAACCATGCCAGTGTGTGACAGTGTAAAGTTTGTGTTTGCAGTTAAGTCTATTAACTCTATTGAACACGGAGGTTATATCACAACAATAGTTTGTTTTTGTTTTCCTCTGGAACTTTATAAGAATGGAAACAGTCAAGAAGTTAACACAGCACACACATGCAGCTGAAGTCAGATCTGTTCATTCCAGCGTGCAAGGACATCGTGAGCCTGACTGGCTTCACACCTTTAAGTTGCGATTGAACATTAATTTATGCATTTTTGCATAACAAAAATTTTATTATTTTCAACACCCTTTACTATGTCAGCTGAATTTAGCTTTCATAAATATTCCTTTTGAAGCCAGACAGCCGAAATTGTGTACTCTGAGTTTTGGGTTAACATTCATTTTGAAGATACGAGGGCTTCCAGGCACGGTTATAACCATTTGCTCTCATTGTGTGCCATAACAGCCCGTGTGATGAATTTGGGAAACTTTTTCACTATATCATGAATATATGAATAAGTGTCGACTTCTAAGTCATGTGTTACCGTGTAAATATGCATTCCTCTGTGCATCGATACTGACGTGGATATAACTTTTTTTCTGTCTGCAGCTGTCGCTTCCTCTGCAGAATTGGTCTGATGGAGCAAAGGCACTCGGCGCGGCTCGGTGCAAAAAGGCATCAATGCGACCGGTGTGCATACAGCACGGATTATATTAGACATTTGACACAGCACCAGAGAACTCACACAGGAGAGAAACCCTTCAAGTGCAGTGTGTGTGGGAAGGCGTTTTCAGATTCATCTACTCGTGTAATACACCAGAGAACACACACGGGAGAGAAACCCTTCAAGTGCAGAGTGTGTGGGAAGGCGTTTGCATGTTCATCTAATCTTGTAAAACACCAGAGAATGCACACGGGAGAGAAACCCTTCAAGTGCAGAGTGTGTGGGAAGGCGTTTGCAGAGTCATCTACTCTTGTAATACACCAGAGAACACACACGGGAGAGAAACACTTCAAGTGCAGTGTGTGTGGGAGGGCGTTTGCACGTTCATCTACTCTTGTAATACACCAGAGAACACACACGGGAGAGAAACCCTTCAGGTGCACTCTGTGCGGGACGGCATTTGCACGTAAACAAAATCTTCAAGTACACCAGAGAACACACACGGGAGAGAAACCCTTCAAGTGCAGTGTGTGCGGGAAGGTGTTTGCACAGTCATCAAATCTTCAAAGACACCAGAGAACACACAAGCATCAGAAGATCCACAAGGAGTGGAGTCTGAAATCAGCTTGCGAAAGTCAAAGTGCCGCAATGAGCCCATCCCTCATCAAACAAAAACCGGAAGACAATTCCAGCTTGAACGATTTTAAAGGTATCGAGGTGAAACATGAAGAGGTGAAGGTGAAATGTGAAGAAGTGATGGTGAAGAGCGAAGAAGTGAAGGTAAAATGTGAAGATGAAGAGTCAACTCCAAAATCGGACCTTCACATCGATGGAGGCAACGTGAAGCAGGAGGAGAATTCTGACTGTGAGGCAGAGCGAGGCAACTCCCAGCAGTTTGTGGAAGTGGAGGTGTGGGTGGACTTCCTCTGAGACAGTACAAAGTCAAATGGAGACCCGGTAGATGTATAAGCTTGAGACGATGTCGCTCTAAGTTATGCACTTTTGTCACAGGCCTTTAATGACAAGAATGTGAAGTTGAACACTCAGTTCCGAGGTTCAACCTGCAGGGTAAGAGCAGCCAGTTCTTGTAGACCTGTGTGTTGGGTAGATCTCTAACCAGGAGCGGGAGCCAATAAGCTCCCAAGCATTCACTATGTTATCAATTGTATTTATATGGTGCTTGCTTAATCGCCCCGGCAATTCGGAGTTTTGTATCGTATCTCGTCTCAACCACTCGAAGAGCATCCCCAAGTAGCAGCTGCCCCTGTGTGGCACAAGGTGGTGGCCCTGCACCGGCCTACATGTGGACAAGAGCCTGTCAGTAGGGGGCGATGGTTGATGTGGCATCTCAGTTGTGGAGTTTGTAATGTTTAGAATTTGATCAATTTTGACCCAGACGCCAGCATGCAATGGCCGACTCGTTTTGAATGACACAATAGTATGTTGTACATACACTGTTAAGCAGACGGTGGTATAATTTAAAATAGCTACTTGTTAATATGATGTAACCTGATGCAGCATATTTCAGTGCGTACATGTAACATTTTGTCTATAAGGGTCAAACATTGAATAAGTCATGTTAGGACACAGTGTGTGTTTTGAAGTAACCTGTACAGGATCACTCAGGTGAGACTCCTTCGTGTGATACAGGTCAAAGGGTATTTTTGTGTTTTGAGGAAGCGTCTGCCTCTGGAGCAACTCATTGTCTTTGAAATAGGGAGCACACTCGGATCATTCATCAGTTACAAGGCATACCACTCAAAAGTTACACGTAGTGGAGATACATTCTCAACAACACGAATTAAAATGTTGTATTACGTGTTGACGTAGATGTTGTCGAATTAGGACAAGAAATGGTCTTTGCTGATTAACGTCTGGATGTTCACAACCATAGGTTGAAGCAAGCCTGACCGCCTGCGGTGCCCCTCAATCATTTACGGCCTTGGGCCAGGAAAGTCACGAAAAAAATTCACACGAACGACGCATTCACGCAAGCACCCGATGCTCCGTTTAGAAGTTTTAAAATGAAACAACTTTGAATTGTATTATTTTTGAATTAGATAATCGTATTTCTTCATTAAAGCTTATGTCATTTTACATCTGGAAGACTTAATTGAAAACAACATTTCGTGTGAAATTTCTCTAGTCGTGAGGTAAATGGCCTTACCGGGGTTCGGTTCAATGCGGACTTTCACCTGGTTGGGATCGCGGGGTGGAGATAAGGTGACATAGAGCTGGCCGTGCCAGAAGACCGCCGTCTGCAGATCGATTCCAACGCGATTGAATGTCTGTTCCTGCTCCTCCGTCGTTCATGTAGGGGGCGAGTAGGTTTGCAGCGCCTCCTGCATGAAAACGAAGGAAAGTGCAGGGTTCATAACGGATGAAGTTGTGTGCTTATATAAGAGTACTCGCGGGAAGTACCGGGCGTGAAATTTCCCACTTTTTAACGTAATATATAGGATACTAAGGCTAAGCACACCCGAGGATTGCACTTTTGTTGAAAAATTATGTTGCAAATATTTGGCCATTATTGGTCAAAAACGGCATAGGTTAGTATGCCGATTTTCTATATTGGGATGTGAGCATTTCATCATAAAATGTTCCACTTTTAATTTAATACATAGCATACTAAGAGAAAATATAAAATTGATGAATTAACTTTTTGTTGAAAAAGCTATGAAAATTTGGCTAATTTTGGTTAACACCGGCATAAGTAAGTATCCCCGATTTTATTTTTGGGACGTGAAATTTTAATCGTGAAATTTTCCACTTTTAAAGTAATATAGAGCATACTAACAAAATGGAGGAATTCACTTTTTCTTGGAAAATCTAGCTATGAAAATGTAGCAAATTTTGGCCAAGAACGGCATTGGTAAAGTATGCCGATTTGATCTTTTTACTTCAAATTTCATGGTTAAATTTCTCACTTTAATTGTAATATATAGGCTAAGTCAGTCTAAACACAACCAAAGAATGCACTTTTTGTAAAAAAATACAGCTGTAAAAATTCGTTCAATTTTAGCCAAAAACGGCAGAGGTTAGTATGTCGATTTTCTGTTTGGGACGTGAACATTTCATAGTGAAATTTTCCACTTTTAATCTAATACATATCATACTAAGGCTAAATACAATGGAGGAATTCACTTTCGTCCTAAAATAAAGCTGTGAAAGTTGGGCTTATTGAGCCTAAAAACGGCACAGTATGCCGATTAACTTTTTTATATTCGAAAATTTCAAGCATGAAATTCCCCACTTTTTAGCATATGGGCTACTCAGGCTAAACACAACCAAGGAATGCACTTTTCGTTGAAAAATAAAGCTAGAAAATTTTGATCGATTTTGCCAAAAAACGGCCTAGATTAGTATGGCGATTATCTTTTTATGGACGTGAAAATGTCATCGTGAAATGTCGCCAGCGGTGTGCTGGAGAGCCAAGCCACAACATCTACAAAGTGCTGCTCATAGCGAGTAGCAGCACCGATGGAGGTCGTCACGGCACACACAGAGGGGGTGGGTGGCCAGCACCACGCCCGGCCGCCTTTGTCTCCCCAGTGCTGGCGATGTTGACACACCGCACCGGGGACTCGTTTGAGGCTGAGTCGACGTAGGGGAGGCTCAGGACCGGCTCAGAAAGTCGTCACTGGCGGCGTTGGCCACGAGCGGGAATGGAACTCGGCTGGTCGGTGCGGAGCGCAGCGCTCACCACGACACTGCCGCTCCCTTCTGTCAACAAACTTGAACTCTGACCCCGCACTCTGACCTCACCGCTCAGTGTGACCTTATCGGCGTCAAACGCCAGGGGGATGTGTACCTCTAGTGACGTCATGTCACCCACCCCCTCGACCGCGAAGCTCTTGAGCGTGACGTCACCTCCGCTCGGCCACTGTCGATATGTCCCAGTGCCAATCCTTATTTGGGCAAAGCCACGCCCGGTGACTGGCGCCTCATTAACATAATTTATGCGTAAAAGTCGTCGCGAGTTTTTTTGCGACGGGTTCAGCAGCCCCGCCCCATCCATCCACGTCTGGGCTGGGCTCATTAACATAATTTATTCAAGTTAAGTCCCGTTCGTCGTGGGAGGAGAGTGTCTTGTACCCCGCAAGTGACGTCATGTCACCGCCTGCTGCCGCGTGACGTCACGAGGTAACGGAAAGTTGCCGCTCCGCGCGGGAACTGAAATCCGAGGTGAGAAATTCTCATCGCGGTTGTGGTGGTTGTGGTGGTGGTGGTGGTTGTGGTGGTGGTTTTTGTTGTAGTGGTTGTTTGTGGTTGTTGTTTACCGAGGTAGAGCCTCGCACTCTCTCTCGTAGGGATGTCAATTGAGTAGCAGCGAGCATGGAAGCGATGTCCAGATTGAAACTTTACAACGCGGGGCCTTGCCTCCTGCCCTCGCCTGATCGCGTTCGCTTCAATTCTCTCGCTTAGTTTAGCGACCTGTGGAAGAACGCGATCAGCCAGGCGATGCGTTAGTTGTGTGTTGACCGACTCTCTGTGTTGCATTGCATTACTTTTTCAAATATTAAGTTTGTTTGATTAAGTGTCTTTCTCAGTGCTGTCACCAAAGCTCCAAATCTCTCATTAACACAAAGCCGTAATTATAATATATTTTAATTATTATAATATAAAATAATTATATGTCTGTGTCTCTTTCTGTGTTATCTCTCTCTGCTTGTGTGTCTGTGTGTGTCTCTGTGTCATCTCTCTGTGTGTCTCTGTGTCATCTCTTTCTGTCTGTGTGTCTCTGTGTCATCTCTATCTGTCTGTGTGTCTCCGTGTTTGTGTTTTGTCTCTCAAATTGAGCAACCTGTGGAAGAACGTTATCAGCCAGGCGATGCGTTAGTTGTGTGTTGACCGACTCTGTGTTGCATTGCATATCTAAATTTGACTAAGTTTGTTTGATTAAGTGTCTCTCTCTGTGTGCAGTCACCAAACCTTCAAATCTCTCATTGACACAAGGCCGTCATATGTTATAATTATAATATGTTATAATAGTTATAATAATATATATTAATTATAATGTTCTAATAAGTGTAATATGTTATAATAATTATAATAATCAAATATGCCCCCCCAATATGTTGCTGTAAAATATTTGTAAATAATAATTGCGATGCTCTGTTAATAAAAACAACAATTTGCTAAACCTTTGCCACAAAATCTGGACTTGTCTTCATATAACAATGCATAGATTTCTGTTTACATGATTGCGTTGTACTTTATGAATCCCTAATCTCTGCAATTACATACTATGAAACAAGAAAAGGTAAAAAAGAAAAAACAGCAATGTAATACAATACACTATTAGACATTATTGCATAAAATAAAACAAATTCCATCCCATGTGTTAGTGAAATTTACAAATATTTTAGGGAGGAAATGGCAGGAAATTAGTTTTCAAATTTAGAAATTTTTCTGGGGGGGGACCCCAGAACCCCCGGAAGATTTGGTCCCCCCCAATGATGACTTCGACACAGGCGTTGTTTCTCTGTGTCTATGTGTGTGTGTCTCTGTGTGTCTGTGTCATGTGTCTATGTGTGTGTCTCTCTCTGTGTGTCTCTCTGTCATCTCTCTCTGTGTGTCTGTGTGTGTGTCTCTCTCTCTCTGTGTCTTTGTGTCATCTCTCTCTGCTTATGTGTCTGTCTATGTGTCTCCGTGTCTGTGTTTTGTCTCTCTCTCAAATTGAGCCATCTTTGGAAGAACGTGATCAACCAGGTGGGGTGTTGACTGTTATGTTAGCCGACACTTTGTGTTGTATTGCATTACATTTCTAAGTTTCATATTCTTAGGTTTTTTGGTAAAGTCACGTAGGTAAAAAAATTTCATTAATAAAAGTAAAATAAAATAAAAATCACGACGTTTCGGAGGCAACACAAGCTTCCGTCTTCAGGTGGAACCGTCACAGCACGATTGCTGCATCCTACTTGACGATTGCTGCATCTTACTTGATGCAGCAATCGTGCTGTGACGGTTCCACCTGAAGACGGAGGCTTGTGTTGCCTCCAAAACGTCGTGATTTTTATTTTACTTTTATTAATTTAAATTTTTTACCGACGTGACTTTACCGAAAAGACCTAAGAAAATGAATCCTTGCAGTCACGAAAGCTTCAAATCTAGAATTTCTAAGTTGACTAGGTTTGTTTTCTCTTTCATTTGTACCTGATGATGATTGCTTGTGTTGCAATCGAAACGTCGCATGCTATTATTAAATTTATTTATTCTACGTGACTTTCCCGAAAGAACCAAAGAGTATCTTGCTTACGTTTTAATTTCTCTTCACCTGGCTCGCTACTTTCTAACTTTGTTTTGTTTTAAATATTCACAGTTTTTTTTACCAGGCCATGCCCGCTTGAGCTGCTGTACCGCTCTTGTTTTCAGAAGAGACCTGCCCACAACAACAAGGTGAGGCTTGTCAATAGCATGGCTGTGTTCACTCTAGACGCGTGGTTATGTTCACTCTAGACGCGTGGCGGTGTTCACTCTAGACGCGTGGTGGTGTTCACTCTATACGCGTGGTTGTGTTCACTCTAGACGCGTGGCGGTGATCACTCTAAACGCGTGGCGGTGTTCACTCTAGACGCGTGGCGGTGTTCACTCTATACGCGTGGCGGTGTTCACTCTAGACACGTGGCGGTGTTCACTCTAGACGCGTGGCGGTGTTCACTCTAGACGCGTGGCTGTGTTCACTCTAGACGCGTGGCGGTGTTCACTCTAGACGTGTGGCGGTGTTCACTCTAGACGCGTGGCGGTGTTCACTCTGGACGCGACCACTGGGAGAGAGAGAGAGAGACACGCAGCCTCGGCTGTGTTGGTTGATCCTCAATTAATTACTTGGTGGAGTGAGGAAGCATTAATACTGAGCAGGTGAAAGTGGCTAGGCGTGGGTCTGGACACACCACCACCTGTGAACCATGCCAGTGCGTGACAGTGGAGCCAGTGGGGGTGGGGTGGCACGTGCCCCCTCAACGTTCCGATCGAAATCCCTAATTTCGATGGGGTCATTGGGGTTTATTAGTAACTAGCTTCACTACCCGGCTTTGCCCGGGACTTGGATTCTTGTCTTGGATTAAAACACGTCCTACGTGGAGTGTTTGGGGGGGGGGTGACGTCAGCAAGCACTGCGTAATGCTTCCGCATGCGGGTGTGACTTCACAAATATGACGTCACCGCTCACTTGCGTGCAAAATAAATGCATTGATGTGCACCCCCACCCCCCCCAAAATACAAAAGTCTATTTTTATACTTTTCGCATTGTGTACAGTCTGGAAGCTACCCACATGCCTAATTTCAAGTTTGTTGCATGTTTTCGAACAGACATTCACAAATTTCCCTTTTATATATATAGATAAATCAGCATTTTGCGACCCCCACCGCCACCGTGTGGCATATTATTACGTGCCAGGGACTCTGAGAGGACAACAGTCCGTGTCCATAATTGGCAATAAGAAACGGCAAAGCAGTTACAAGCGA